AGCGAACCCCATCTGAGCCTCAGGGTCAAGGTGGGTCCGACGGCCGGCGTGAGAGAAAGCGGTCGGAGTAGGTCGCAAAAACCTTTCAAAGATAGCCATGAGCAAGAACATTGAGACGAGAATGGCAGTGGCAACAAAACCAAAAGAGACTGCATCGACGGAGTTGTCGAAGTGCCTCCAGTGGTCCTCTCTCTGGACGTCAAGAGGAGCCCCAGTCGGGGACCATCCATAACCTTCTTCACCCATATTATCCCCAAAAGTTTCAGACGAATTTCCCCGCTCCGACATAGCTGGATTTGTAGCTCATGGCAGCTTAATTATGAAGGAGAAGAATTGGAGGGAAAAGTTTCAGGGTTTTTCGGTGTTATCAAAAACTTAAGCAGCTACCAAACTCGTAATATAGAGAGAGAGAACAGCGACAGAAGAGAGAGAGAGAGAGATTGAAGGTGTGGGCTACCATTACCATCACAACAAAATTCCACAGTTTACCAGAAGGTGAAAAGGGGGCTTTGGAATTTGGATTAGAAATTCCATTAGAATCATCGTTTCGGAAGTGGTTGTTTTAGCTAAACCCAGAAATTTCCGAAAGTTTCAGATTCCAATTGACTGCGCCAATTTACAGTATCGCCATTGCTAAAGCGAAGCTACTGAGTAGTAAAGTATGTACGTTTTTTCGTTCATACGGAGAAGATGATTAAAGCATGAAAATAAGAAAACCACAATAATTTAATAAATGAATGGTTCCTCCACAGATGAACACATTGGATCTAAATGGGCCAACATTTTGCCTTTTCTGGGCTCGTTGTTCCAACCCACCCGCCAGGGGTTGGACCGACTCCAAATTCCCATTTACCCCTTTGTTTCTAATCAAAATTACATAAACTGCCACTCCTCTCCACGAGGCCTACCAAATTAATTGATCCAATAAAATTAAATTAAATTAAAAAAAGAAAATACTAGATCCGACCCAGCTTGTTTGATGACCGAATCCATCTAACTGGACCCACATACCCACATGCGTCCGGTCATGTGCCCGGGCCGAAAGCCTCATTTTATGAATCTATCCACTCACAATCTGCCACGTGGACGACTGATTATTAAATAAATAAAAAAGAACGGTGGGTCCATAAAAGGACTGTATTAGTGTCGGGCTTTCCCGACCGAAGCCGAATATGTGGAGCATCCAGTTCTTTCCTCGAGATTCTCGTGTAAAAAAAATCAACGTTTCAGATCCCACCGTGCAATAAACAACAAATCCTGACCATTGAGCCAGTCAAAAGACACACAGGTCAAACCCTAATCCCCCGCGTGCGTGTGAAGTGAAGCATCGCACGTGTGATTGCGTGTTGGAGTACATAATAAAAAACATCAAACCTTGCAATTTTAATTTTCCTCATTGGTCCCTCCCTGTCGTTGAGTGACCATGCAAAATTAAGAGGGTGAGTGAGACAATAATGTCATTTCCAGTTAAAAATAAATTTTAATTTATTTTTTTTAATCCCACATCCAAAATTAATATTCATGGAAAATAATAATTGGGGAGTGTTTGGTAACGGATATAGCTATGGTTTGGTTGGCTTCTTTTCGCATTAATATTTGTTTGGGCGCAGGGAGAGTGAGTGACAGTCCGGCTGCTTTTGATGGCATGGGCCCACGTGAGGCCTAGCTGTTATGAATTTGGGCTCCCTACAAGAAGCAGCCCTATTCCTATGGGCTTACAGCAGTTCACTTTGAGTGTACGAAAAGGCTTCCATGGGCCCCATCCAATCCCCTCTGGCTGGCCCACCGTAGATATGGTCCTCATGTAACTTTATGTATTATATTATTACGTACCAAGACAGGACCATTTTCCTTCTTAGTTTTTAATGTTTCTCCTTTTCTTTAGAATATTTGAAAAGGAGCGGTGGGAAATTGGAGTTGCCACTTTGTTTGGCTCAATCATAAAACTTTATCATCTAAACATTATTATAAACTATACGTATAATCACTTTTTATTATAACCTATAGTTTTTCGATATGAATATAATTTAACACCAAAAAGGGGTAAAGTATTTTAAAGGTGGGTGTTATTTATTTATTTATTTTTATTTTTTCAAAATGAAAATATTAGGAGGCAAGAAAGATGCAAAATGATGATCGATCACATAAAAATAAAAAAAGTACCTAAAAAGAATAGTCCTACTAATTTTCTTTTGTGAGAGCAAAATTACTATATTTTGACTCAATTATGACTCTCCACAATGGTATGATATTGTCTACTTTGAGCATAAGCTCTCCTGTACTTTAGGTTTTTCCAAAAAAGGCCTCATACCCAATTGAGAGAGTATTCTTTATTTATAAACTCATGATCCTTCTCTAAATTAGTCAGTGTGAGACTTTCATCATCCAACATTGTTTATCGGGAAAAAAAAACTATTTGTTACGATCTTGCTTGAACAATCTGACCCTAATCAATCGAGAACGAAAATATGTACAAGGTGATGTAGAATTGGATGGAAAAGGGAGGGTAAAGAGTGAAGAAGATTGGATAATATTTAAAGGAAAGGTGTGAGGTTTGAGGGGACAAAGAGGAGGCAGCCCACGTGAAAGCACACAAAAACTGTCCAAATGTGTGTATGCCGGTATGCTCTTTCGTTGGTTGGTTGCATCACAAAGTGACTACCAAATGGATATTAAGTAATAATGGAAAAGGGCCCTTTTTTTTTTGGTCTCTTTTTTAATTTTTGGTATAATTCTATGCATTTCAAATCATTTGTTTTTGGCTCTTATCAACTTTAATTCATTGCTATGTTTGAGTTTGGCGTTAAGGTTGTATAATTTTTAAATAATTTAGGGCGTGTTTCATAATCATTTTGTTAGTATGTTGAATTGGACTAATTTGTAAATTTTATTTTTATTATTAAAAAAAATAAACCATTATCATTATTTTAAGATCCATCTAAAGGTATGTCATGATTATTATTTTTTTAAAGATATAGCATTGACTCGTGTGTTAAACAACCGAACAAATGGTCCATTTGATGTCCTCTGTCCAGTAGACATTAATGGGCCTTCAAATCGGGCCACTTCTTGTAGACAAGACATAAGACCCATGGCCCAATAAGTGTCAGATTTCACGTTGTCCTTTCACTTTGGGGTTGCAATTTCAATAGTCCTCTAAGCATCACAATGACTTATCTGGTCGGGAGAGATTTTTCACTTTTATAAGAAATATTTTGTTCCCTTCTCTAACGGATATGGTATCTCACAATCTACCCTTCTTGGACACCCAACATCCCTGTTGACATTTCACCTGATGTTTGGTTTTGATACAATTTGTAATAATTTAAACCCACCACTAGTAGATATTGTTCACTTTGACATGTTACGTATAGTTGTCAGTCTCACGATTTTAAAACTCGTCTATTAGGAAGAGGTTTCCATAAGCACCACTTTGGTTGGAGAGGAGAACGAAACGTTTCTTATAAATGTGTAAAAACTTTTCCCTAATAGACCCGTTTAAAATCTGCAAGATTGATGACAATACGTAACGAGTCAAAGCGGACAATATCTACTATGGGGTTGGGTTGCTACATGTTCAAGTCAATTCTTCTCTAAAACACATTATTAGTCTAACAAAGCTTAAATATGAATCTCTAGATATCATCTCTTTACATGATAAAGAAATATTTTTAAATTTTAAGTGAATATCACGTATTTCTATTCTTATTTAAACATAATTTCAATACTTTTAATTTTGTTTCACATAAAAGATTTCATACCAACTATGTCCTAGACTTTAGGTAGTATTGAATTCATTCAATTGAATGTGAACAACCACTCCCACTTTGGGATGCCAAAAAGGGGATTAAGATAAGGGAATATTGCCACCCACTATTAATACCTTACATCAACTCATCTTCCACCTCCCTAATAAATGCACACATGCTAACCAAATTATAACATAAAAGAGGCAATATTTCAAATTTTAAATCTTCATATCTTCATCTATGGGGCTTTTTTTTTTTTTTTTTTTTTTTTTTTT